AGGCAGTGTTCCATGCAGCTACACGCTTCCTAATGGAATCCAGGAGGCTGGTCAATCTTCCCTTATGCTACTAGCTCACACCATTCCATTAAGTCTACATAACAGTCAAATCTACCAACGACAAAAGTTGAAAAAGTGCAGGAAGAAATTTGGCTTCTACTTAGGCTACAGAAAGCTAGAATGATTGTTGCTCCAACCCTTACAATAATGTCAAAAATATATATACAAATTAGTCTGTATATCACAACTTTTCTAAACCGATGGGAATAGTAAATTCAGAGAAAAACCAATTAACCTGAAATCTAAGTAACGTCCTGCACCTTCAAGGAGAGATGGAACTAGAGCTTTCGCTTACCTGGAGAAAATGCCAGACATAATACAAGCCAACTAAAATTTTTAATGAATCAATAAAGACTAAAAATAACAAAGGTTAGTGGGAAAGTACAGAAGCCCTGAGAACGCCAGACACAATTCATTCTCACTTGAAGGTTCTTCTCTACAGACCTCCCAGGGATTTGTGAGAAAGACTAAAGAAGAGTAAGAGATTCAAAAAAAGCCTCTCAGACTGCAGGCCTGGGCGAGGGGAACAGCAGCCATTACCTGCAGGGTGGAGTGAGGGGGGACTTTACGGAGCTCAGGGCAGCAAACCCTGCTGACCTTAGGGTATCTGCAATCTCCCCACAGCTGGAGGAAGAAAGAAGAAAAACTCTCTATTCCTGGAGACAGCACGGAGGCAGGAACGCATTATAAGCCCAAACTACTAACATACATGGTTTCTACAGCGGGGGCAGGAGCAACATCACCAGGGACACATAGCCAGTCTAAAACTGAAGTTGATTTGGAACAGAAAATGTGTCTCTAGCAAATACTGAGTAACAAGTAACATTAGCCTATTACTGAGTGGGGGTCAACTGTGCAGAGACAGAGACTTTCTCTAAGGCACAGGCACCAAAGAAAAACCTGCAGCTGAGGGTGGAACAACTAATGGGAGGAAACCTCTCTCAGGCAAATCAGTCTCCATCTGCAACACAAAGTACCTAGAGGAATTTGAAGCTAGCAGTGCACTGAGGAGAATAATAGCAACAACAAAACCCCAAACCAATTCCACTCCTGGCTAGAAAAACGTAATCCTTCCCCTAACCTACTAAAGCCCGGCAAAAGGCAAGCTCAGCCCATGTACAGGCGTGAATTACTACTTACCTCATTTCCTAAGATCCTGAACAAGGTGTCCAATGTTCAATAAAAAATAACAAGGACATGAAAAAAATAAGAAAGGAAACAACTATCAAGAAACAAAGGCAACAGCATAACCAGAGTAAGACAGTACCAGATGGTAGAACTATCTGACAGGAAGTTTAAGATCACTGGGATATAGAGATAACAAGATACCATGTTAGAACAGATGGGGAATTTCAGGGAAGAGGGAGAAACTATGAGGAAGAATCAAACAGAAATGTTACAACCCCCAAACACAGTAACCGAGATGAAGAAATTTTTCAATGACAGCATCCATAAACCCAACACAACCACGGAAACAAATGATAAACCTGAAAATGGATCAATAAAATACCCAAACATAAAAGGAAAAGCTGGGGGAAAAATAACACAGAAAACCAACCAAAAATGGTGAAACATTTCAAATGGTACAATACACATTCAATTGGAATTCAAGGAGTAGAGACAGAGAATGGGGTAGAGGAAATACGTGAAAAGAAAACATCTAAGAATTTTCCAAAACTGATGGTAGACATCAAACCAGATATCCAAGAGAAAACCAAATAGAATAAACAGCAAATCAAACACATCTAGACACAACAAAATTAAACTGCTAAAAACCAAAATCTAAGTAGAATCTTTAAGTAGCCAAAGGGGGGAAAAGACACCTAACAAAGAGGACCAAAGATAGTTTTGTCAGAACTATGAAAGTGAGTGGCCTGGCAGCGCCTGTGGCTCAAAGGAGTGGGGCGCCGGTCCCATATACTGGAGGTGGTGGGTTCAAACCCAGCCCTAGCCAAAAACTGCAACAAAGATAAAAGAAAAAAGAAAAGAAAAAAAAGAAAGAAAGAAAGAAAAAAAAAAAGAAAGTGAGTGACCAAGCCAATGAGAAGGCACTTCTAAGCCAGCACTTCTAGTTCCAGTTACTCGAAGGCTGAGGAGGGAAAACAGCTTGAACCCAGGGGTTTGTGTTAAGCCTGGTCAACAAAATGAGAGCCCATCTCTTTAAAAAAAAAAAAGTGAAATAAAAAAATTAAAAATAACTCCCACTTAAAAGAAGGCATTTTTAAATAAATTGATCCTTGAACACCATAAATTTAAACTATGCAATTCCATTTGTAATGTGGATTTTTCCCCCATCTCGGCTACCCCGAGACAGCAAGACCAACCCCTCCACTTCCTCCTCCTTCGCCTATTAATTATGAAGATGATGAGGAAGAAGACTTTTGTGATGATCCATTTTACTTAATAAGAAGTAAATACATGTTCTCTTCCTTACGACTTTAACATTTTCTTTTCTTTAGCTGATTTCACGATAAGAAGACTGTATACTCATGTACCTTGCAAAGTAAGTGTTAATCAGCTATTTATGCTATTGGTAAGGCTTCTGGTCAACAGTAGGCTATCAGCAGTTAACTTTAGGGGGATCAAAAATTATACCTGGATTTAACAGTGCAGAGTGTCAGTGCCCCCAAATTCCACATATTTAAAGTGATGAAAGGCAAAAAATATCTATGAAACAAAAAACTCTATACCATTGAAAACAATTTTCAAAGTTGAAACAGAAAGTTTTTTTCAGGAAGACAAAAGCTGAGAAGATTTAAGGCCAACGGATTTTCCCTGCAAGATATATCAAAGAAGTACTTTAGGCAGAATGAATGTGATACTAGACAAAAAGCTGAATTTACAAGAAGAAAAGAAGAACACCAGAAACTGCGTGAATTAAGGTAAATATAAAATTCATTTAAAAAATTTTAATTGCTGTAAAAGACAACAGACTATATATACCAAAAATAGCTGTAATGTACTGTCTATTAATAGAATAGTGAAAGTAAAACCTTGGAAAATAGGAGGGAAGTGCTGGAGATACATTGCTTTAAGGTCCTTCTGCTTGCTGTGAAGAGGTCTATTATTTGCAAGTTAGCCTCTCATTAAAGTTATATATTGTAAATGCTAGGGTAACCATCTTAAAAACTAAGAGATAGAAATTATACACTAATGGTGGAGATCAAGATGTAATCATAAAAACTACTCAATAGTAAAGGTAGAAAAAACATACACAAAATGGTAGATTCTACACAAACAATATCGATAGTTACATTAAATATAAATGGTCTTACAGACCAAAGAAAAGACAGATGGTCAAACTGGATGTAAAGCAAGACCAATTACATGGTATCTACAAAAAGCCACTTTAAATACAAATAGATAAATTAGAAGAATAGAAAAATGTACACTTCATAAAAAGGGACATTTAATAATGATTAAGTGGTCCAAAAAGACTTAACAATCCTAAATCTTTATGTGCTAAATAAAGCTTCAAAACATGAAGTAAAAACTGTCAGAACTGAGAGAAGAAATAAATCCGCAATTACTGAAGACTGAAAGACTGAAGAAGGGCTGAATACTATGAATCACCTTGACAGTTACTGAACATTACATCCAACACAGCAGAATACATATTCTTGTAAGTACACAAGGAACTTACCAAGATAAACCATACAGTGGGTTAAAAATCAAACCTTTACAATAACCTGTAAATGTAAGTAAAATGTTTCGCTGAGTTCTAGAAGCCAATAGAGGAAACTATTAAATCTGTGGAGGAGTTGCAGGAATCCCCTATTCGGGAGTACAGTAACAGTTTTCCTCTGCCCCCAAGCAGAAGCTGAAGATGGAGAAGGAGGGGACTATAAAAGGGTATGGAGGAATTTGGGGGGGGTGATTATTTCCTGATTTCCTGATTATGGTAAGAGTTTTATAACCATGTGTTTGTTAGAATTCTCAGAACTACATACCAAAATGGAAGAATTTTACTGCATATAAATTATAGCTTAAATTTTAAGTGAAGACAAAAATTATACATTTTTGAGATATTTCAAACTATCTCATTTAAGAATAAACTGGGATGATAAATATCCTTACTTGAACATTCAACACATTTTATGCATGAAACAAATTTTCTCATGTACCCATAAATATTTACAAATAAAATGTATTAACAGAAAAAATAAACTAGACTTTCCTAAGTCTTTCTACTAATATACATTGATGATGTTTTCTTCATAACAAAAATATATTGACACTAACTTTGGTAAAAATAAAAATGAATATACAATATGAAAAGCTCCAAAATGAGATCTTTATTGTCCAACTCTTTATAAGTTCCAAATGTGTACAGTCTACTGGGTTGGGGTTAGACTTGTACCCTTCAAAGTTTCCACACCTAATTCAACACTGAAAAGTTTGGTATTTATCAACTCTCCTACTGGGAAACTGAAAATTAATAGGTATGAAAGAGAAAATACAACAAATTATTTATATTTGTTTTCTTTCTTAGGGCTTATTTCTAACCTATAATAAGATGTACTTTGACGCAAGAAAACTAAGAGAGAGAGGAAAGTCAGTAGTTAAGGACAGATAACTGTTCATGTCTCAAAACCAAGCCAGACACCAAAACATAACTGTGACATACCACAGAAAATGACCCCAACTTCAATTAGCATATGTCTAGGATGTCCCAGTATTCATTTTGGAAATTCAAGAAAATTGTTTTAATACTAAAGGTTCTACTTATTCAAAGGAGTTAAACCAAGAATGATATAAAGGAAAAATAAGAAAGCTTTTGTGATCTTTACAAATGAACCATAATTCATCCAATAATTACCTGAAATATTTAAGCACTAATTAAGCATTACTTAATAAAAATACTGAACAAAATAATACTGATAAATCCTATTTTTAAAGATATAACACACATCTGTTCCTCTTTCATATATTATATTTACCTCAAAGCCAAGTCGGTCCTTTTCTTTCCAAAAACAGAAATGTGTTACTTTCTTATCCCAGAATTCATCTGGTTTCACTACACAAACAAGAGACACCTCAGCTGGAACAACATTCTGTAAAATACAGAAAAATAATTACAAATCACACATGTAAAATGAATCCTTTACTAAATATACAAACTACTAGATATTTATAATTAGGCTAATTAGGAGACCTCTGGAAAAAAATTAAAGTTGAAGAAATTCTCCAAACTTTGAAACGTACATAGTAATAAAGAAGTGCATGAAAGAAGAGGTTATTCAGAAAAGATTTCAAAAAATATAATAATAGCTAGTACATGTGAATCATTTTATATCGATATATAATGTGTAGGCTGACTGTAGTGGCTTGTGCCTATAATCCTAGCACTTGGGAGGCTGAGGTAGATGGCAGGAGTTTGAGACCAGCCTGAGTAACATAGCGAGATCTCATTTTTATAAAAAGAATTTTTTAATTTAAAAAATTAGTGGAGCATAGTGATATACATCCATTGTCCCAGCTACTCAGGAAGCTGAGGTGAGAGGGCTGCTTGAATCCAAGGGTTTGAGGTTTCAGTGAGCTATGATGACACCTCTACAGTCTAGCCCTGGCAACAGAGTAAGATACTGTCTCAAAAAAATAAAAAAATTAATGAAAAACAAAGCACACAGTTTTATTGAACCTCTGTACTAGGGATATATTTCTATTAAATGGAAAGGCTTAATTTTTAGTTGAGAAATTATTAAATTTGATTTTTCTATGATACGTGAAAAAAAATTCTAGCACAATCATCTTGGAGAATTTCTTCAAAAGGTGTAAAATCAAATTTTTCAAAACATAAGCACCTTGTCAGCAATTACATAGAGGCCCAGACTCTACATGATTATTAACTTGAAGAAGATCAAGAGCTAATCTTTGACAAATACAATTTTATGTTTCCTAGATATAGTTATTCATGTTATCTTAAGAAGAATGGAAATAAACATTTATTAAATTAACAATTATTCCACATATACTTTAACAGCATGTCTCATGGAGTATAACTTTAAAATATATCTTAAATTTAATCATGTCTACCCCTTACTTAGCCAGCTTTCTAACATAAGCTCTAACAGGTCTTCCCGCTTGATACTGTCTCATACTCAGAATCAAATTTAAACTCCTGACCAAGGTCAATAAGGGCCCTGCTGACCTCTCACACCTCTCACCTCCTAGCTCACTCCTCTGCTACAGCCTGGCTGACTTTCTCACTGCCCCGGGAGTAAGTCTGTTCCCACCCCAGGTTCCTACCCACACTGTTTCCTCCATCTGGAATGTTCTTTGCCTTACACACAGGAGTGCCCCTTCTGTTTATTTCAGATTCTATTCAGAATCTACTCCCTCTTCAGAGAGGTCTTCTCTGCCCACCCAATCTAAAGTGGCATCATCTGACTCGGTTTCCTTTTACTGCTGCATTTTTTTCCACAGCATTTATCACCATCTGATATTAGATGATTTATTAAATGTGCTTAATCACTTATTGTCTTGACTCCTTAAGTGAAAGATAAGCTTCCCGTTGGTAGGTAGCTTATCTAGCATGTTGCCCCTATAATCTCCAGTGCCTAGGATGGTGCCTGACATATAAAACATAGTCTACAAAAATTTCTTGAATAAGTAAATCCTCACTAACAAGCCAGTCCCATTCTCCCAATGGGACAGAAGAGTAATTTGAGCTTCAGAGAATTAAAGTAACTTGTCTAAGGTAACAGTGAAAAGTCATGAAACTAAAATAGAAATCGGGTCTGTTTGATTCTCAAGTTCTACTACACCAATTCATACATTCTAGCCCAGGGGCCTGTATATTCTTTCTGAGATGTCCTGAAAATAAGTGTGTTAGACTTCACAGACCATAAAGTCCCTATCACAACTATTCAGTTCTATCAAGGTAGTGTGAAAGCAGCCAGAGATAATATACAAATGAATGGGCCTGGCTGAATTCCAGAAAATCTTACTTATAAACTTAAAGGCTCAACCTCTGTATTAAACTTTAAACAACAGCACTGTATAATCATTTTTAAAGGAGAAAATAGAAAACCTTTTGATAGACACACATCTCTGGGCATGTCAGAAATCTACTGCCTGCTACGATTAAGGTAAATAAAATAAATTCAATGTTATCAAAGCTTTTATCAGAGGGGCTAGAAAATTTAAGATAGATATGAAGTTTATTCATGTATTTCCTTGTAGAAGATAATTATTTCAAAATCATTGGATGGGAAAGCTCTGAGAAACAAGAGAAACCAAGCAGCTCCTTTCAGAGAACACTAGTTACAGGCAGACCCAGCACTGATATCTGGGCTCTCAAACCACTGGTGCCCGTCCTGTATGAGATAAAAGCAGTGAATGGCTTCATGTGTAGAAACTGTCTGACTACGAATAAACAGGCCATGTCTACTTCTGAAAAAGTTAACTATTAGTATATCCAAAAGTTGTTAAAACACCTCTCAGAAAAGAAATTGCAAGAGAGAATTAAATCATCCATTGACTGTTTTAACTGCCACTGATCAAAGTCCAGTTCAAACAGCAAGTCCCAAACAGCTCATGTGTGACACAGTTGAGTGGCAGGATGAAAGGAAGAACACAAGGTCAGGATTAAGGGATTTTCACCTAATAGTTATTTTAACAACTTTCGCAGAGACGGGGTGAGTGATCTTCAAGATTTGGAACATCAAGTGCTGGAACCATTTTTTGACAGAAAAAGTTATGAGGGGATGCTGATTTGTACCCCCTGAGAAACTGGTTCTCCTGAGGCTGTGTCCTTTCTCACGAGTAAGAGTGATTCCAACACGGAAAGATTAAGTCAAACATTTAAAGAAGAACGAGGCAATGGGTAGAGGAATATTGTGAAGCTAAAATTAAATGAGATCATTTATATAGCAAACTTATTTAGCATAGCACTAAAACTAAAATTAGCATGTTGTTCTCACCCCTTGAAGTTCTTTTTACCCCAACTATCCTATATAAAAAACATTAAGAATCATTCTCCTTAATTATAATTTAAAAGTTTAAATTACATTCCTTTCCACAGAACTCTAAAGCGGCTGCCAATTATATTCATATTTCCCAAATTCACTTAAAATTCTTTATTTTTTTTAGTATCACTGACATTCTCCTAACATTGAATGTTCCTTATCCCAATGTTACTGTCAACTTAAATTTTCCCCAAACCGGCCCGCCATCAACTCCTTTCATCATATTTGCTTCATTTTTGAGCTACAATTAAGAGTCCTTGCTAGGAATGTCCTTTTCACTTCCTTTCATTTAAATTAGATAATCTCTTGGATCTAACTCAAATTTGACCTTCTTTAGAACCCCTTCTAAGGAAAGTAAGGTGCATAAGAATCATCTGCCCTCCAATCACTCCAATAGGTTATTTTTCCATTTCAAATCATAATATCTCCATTACCCTAAAAATAAATCCACAAATGTTAACTGGGCATCTACTGTATGCCAGGGAGCACAAACACATTCTAAGGAACACAAGGAAAAATAATGCAGAACACTGGCAGCAGAGCTCAAGGATGGTGTAATCATAGGTGCTCATTAAATGCTGACTGTGAGCTGCTAAAAGCCCAAAGGACACAGCTATTAAGTAAATTTCTTCTGGGTTATAGATAGATAATAAGAACATCATGAACACTGAGTTTTTGGAAGAAATAGGGGATGAGAAGGGAAAGACATACCAGAATCACCTGAGAAGCCTCTTCCAACCAGACTTACTCAATCCTGCCACCTCCCTATAGCATCAGAATGAGGAGCAGGGACAGAATGATAGACACCACATAGCACAAAGCTCCCAGGTGAGTTTGGTAATGCCTGCCCCACCCTTCTGACATCACTAACCTCCTTGGGTAAAAATGACATCTTATTTTCAGTTAAGAACAAACCTTTAGAATACACGGTTGAGATTTATTTCATTACTTGAATTCAAGCCTATAAAAACTGAACCCGAACAACCTAATAGTGATACGGTCATTTTCAGAACTCAGTCACTGCTGAGAAGCCTCATGATCCAATAAATGAAATGCATTTGCCATTTTCACCATCATATGTTACTGTAAAATAAAAACCATTTCCTGATAGGCAGAAATAAAATTACCTGTAGCATTAAGACTACTGTTTTCACCACATTCCACTGTGATTTTCTGCCATCCACGATCACGGTAAATCCTCTAGCCTTACACTTTTCACTAGAACAAAGCAAAATTAAGAAGTATTAAAACAAGCTACAGATTTTATTCTTCACAATCCTAAACAAAAGAGGTTTACAGCTTATTCATATAGAGAGAATTTATCTCACATAGTTTGGTTCATTTCGTAATAAAAATATTCTTCAGAATATCCTTTTATTTTCTCAAGCAATTTATTTTTCCTGCTTTAAGAAATATTAACAATTTTATTTCAAAGACATAGAAATTTAATGTCTTAAAAAGTGAAGAGATCAAAGCAACTTTCAAGCAGTCTTCCTACTAGTCTCTCAATTACTTTATCGTAAAATGGGAGTGTAGTCAAGTAGGTGGCTAATGACTGCCAAGTGTGTTATGTCCCTGTCTCTCCTTCCTGCCAGAAGCATTAGATTTGTGAATAATTGTTCAAAACAGGGAGAAAATAAGCTTCTTGGAAATTTAATAAAAGGAGGTAATACTTGGTGTACATGATGATTCAAAGCTTAAAGAGATAATGTCTAATCCACCTCTGCTCTCAATTTTGCATTTTCAGTCACTTGACCAGTGAAATATTATCTTGAGTGTTAGAAAACGTGTTATTATGTTCAATTGCTCTAGTATTTACTAAACACATCCAAGAAGTCTCCCTTAGTAATATGCAATAACTTCTGTAGGGAAAAACTCCAACCTACAGAACAAACCCCACACAGCTATGATTGTTACTATTACTATTTTACTTATAAAATTCACATCAAGGATCTCAAATGTCCTCTTTCCACTACTATGGAAGGAGATGCAAGTTTGCTTAGCAGAGCAAGGATTTGGTAGTAAAAGCTATCTTCACCCAAAAGTTTCATAAATTCATAGGAAAGGCAAATGGTAGACCTTTTCCTGGGATTTAAATCCAACGATAGTCCTGAAGATTTTACTACTCCTCCCTACGTCCTCTACGCAGTCACATTACTTTTCAGAGGGTTTGGGGAAAAGTCATGCCCAGTTCTATTGAGGAACAGTGAGGCCATGAGGAGGAGGATGATGACATTGCTAAAAGTGCAGAGGGGGCTCAGACTGCTCTGCAGGCAAGGACAGAAGCTGAGCTTCCAAAGTAAACAAGAAAAAATCAAGAGGTGGAGTAAACTGAAGCATATATCCACAAAATCTTGCACATAAATATTCATAGCATCATAATTCATAACAGCCAAAGAGTAGACTATCCAATGTCCACAGCTGATGAACAGAAAGACAAAATGTGGTAGAGCCAGACAATGAAGTATTATTCAACCATAAGAAGAATGAAGTACTGGGCAGTGCCTGTGGTTCAAAGGAATAGGGCACCGAAGGTGGCGGATTCAAACCTAGCCCTGGCCAAAAAAAAAAAAAAGAATGAAGTACTGATACGTGCTACAACAGGGCTAGACACAAAGGGACATATACTGTATGATTCCATTTATATAAAATGTCCGGAACAGGAAAATCCACAAGCACAGAAAGCTGATTAGCAGTTGACAGGGGCTGGGGAGAGAATGGGGAGTAACAGCAGTACAGGGTTTCTTTTGAGTTGATGAAAATGTTGTAGAATTAGATAGTGAGATGGTTGCGCAACTCTGTGGAATATGCTAAAAACACTGATTTGTATGATATTTATTTTTGTAGATAGTTCATGGTCTATTTTCTCCCCTTTGGAAAACTAATCACCTTCAAATCATTTTTTAAAATAGTCCCATTATGTTCTCACCTAATGCTGTTTCTATCATATCCCAAATAATAAACACATAGATCTTTCTGGAATCTCTTCTACTCTGAATTAATACAAGAGTCTTATTTTATTTGTAGTTCATCATATCATCTGTTTGTCTTTCAATACTTACAACTTATTTTTCTTATTACAGTGGTGAGGATCTCCACTGAAATGTGAGGTATAACTCAGTAAAAAATAATTTAAGTACAGGCGTCCCCCAAGTTACAAACATCTGACTTATGTACAACTTGCACTTATAAACACAGGCTAGTACAGACAGTCCCCGAGTTACAAGCTTCCAACTGACAGATATATAACTTGCTCTTATGATTAGAGTCTATTATAATAGGTAATAGGTAAGTGTACCCGTTCCAACTTACATGCAAATTCAACTTAAGAACAAAACCACAGAACTGATCTCATCCCTAACTTGGGGACTGCTTATTTTCTATTTTTGAATTTGAATTGCAAATAAAAGATTCACTAAGTATTCTTTGGGAAAAAGAAGAAGGTGAGGTAATACAATTATTATGTTTAAGTCAGCAAAAGTAAAAAAAGACTTGGGAAGGGAGGCAAAACTAACAGCTAATTATAGTCTCAGGTAACGAGGGAATTTTTGGAGATCCCACCAACAAGACATCTAGGAAGACCTCTGTGACTCAGGGTACAAGCCTAAGGGAGATGAGGCTAAGCTGGGTGGCTGGCTGTTGAGTGATTTTTTTGGTGAAGAGGGACCGACTCAAGGACTCTCGTGATGCGTGATGGGAGTTTGCAGGAAGGAGAACTGAGACACAGAGCTGTCCAGTGCAGGGCCCTCCCACCAGGAGAGCAGGCCATTCCCGTAACTTGGTACTCTGTTGCCACTGGCATTTACAGCTCTGAGATACAGGTTATACAACTATTTTGTTAAGTAAGTTTTGTACAAAACTTTTACATTTATAATTTATATATTCTATAATTTATATTATATACATTAATCTGTATATTAATCACAGTAATGAAGTTTTTAAATACTACCTGTAGTGATCTTAAAAGCATAACTACTTCATCTTATAGAGTACTTAAAAACACCCTTAGTCATAATTTTTTTACATTTTTCTAAACTAGGCAATGAAAATACACAGAATCCAAAGACAACTATTTCAAAATTGTAATACCAACTAGTTTTTCAGGTATTTGAAAAAAATTAGTTTGGGCTTTTTAAAAAAATTTTCATTCCTATAAGCAGAAGGATGGTTTAAACCAGGCGTCCTCAAACTGTGGCCTGCCTAGGACATTTATCTGGCCTGCTGGGTGCTTTTGCCTCCACTGCCTGTCCTGCTTAGCAACTGACTCATCCCGGGGCCCACAGTCTGGCCCTCCAACGGTCTGAGGGACAGTGAACTATTTAAAAAGTTTGAGGACCCCTGGTTTAAATGGCTTTTAATAAGAACATAATTAATTTAGAAACATGTTATGCTCTTTATAAAGGGCATTCCTATTTTACTATTAACATACTTGTAATTATAGTTAAGCACAGTAACAAAAAAAATTCTAAATCCCTGCCTCCTTGTTCCTACTCTATTAGAGCCTTTCAAGAGTGATGTGGCTGAGTTAAAACAGCCACATGAAACAGACAAGGATGCTTAACAAGCTCACTCACTTTTCCCATAGAAAGGGATTGCCAGTGGGTTTCCTGGGCTCAGTATCCCACAGCTTTTTACTCATTTCTGTGAGTTACAGAGACTCCTCTTCTACTCATACAACTCTACTTATACTTACATAACAGGACTAATTTCACTTACGATTTTATTATAATTACTTGTTTAGAACTTAATTAGATATCCTGCTTCCAGAAAGCAAGATTATCTTTCTAATACCTTGGCCATTTCTAGAACAGTGCTTTAAATACTGAAGGCCTTTAAAAATATTAGCTTATACACAGCACATCACTCCTCAGAATACGACAATGGTTTTCCTTCTTATTCAGAATTGAAATCTTTGATGGCCTTCATGGTCCCCTGTGAACTCACTCCAGCCTGTCTCAAACTGTCCCAGCTACACTAGCCTCCTTGATGTTCACACAACAGGTTAAACTTGCTCCTGCCTCAGGGCCTTTGCACATACTGCTCCTTCTGTCTCCAATGCCCTTTCATCACTTATCTGCAAGCCTACCCCTGATTTCAATCATCTCTGGTAAAATGTTCTCTTATCATTTTGTAAAATATCACCACATACCTTCTTCCACCTCCATTGCTCTCCTGACTCTTTCCAAGCTTTGCCTGCATAGCACTCATGTATATCCAACATGCTATGTACTTAGCTGTAATATCTGTTTGTGTGACCTTTAGGGTGTAAGGTCCATAAGGACAGAAACAAGATCAGTGCTGTTTATCCATTTTCTCAGTGCCTAGACTGATGAGGAGTTCATTGTAGACTTCACATATTTACTGCGTGACTGAAGACTTAGGACCTTCCTGTCTATAAAGCATTTGACAAGTCATTAAACCTCTTCATCCTGATGTTTCCTCTATACCGTGAACAAGTTAGGAAAACTGACTTAAAACAAAAACTTAAATTAAAAAAATCAAACTAAGAAAATGGAAGAGTATCTTCAACAGATGTTGAATGTCTAATCAAGAATAATCAGAAGGAGAAGGGAGGAGGGGTGGGGGGGAAGAGAGAGAAGGTTTGCTAAGCTCTCACCTAACAGGCACAATGTAGGAATATAAGATGCAGTTCGTGGGTGAAAGGCTCAACTACACCTTGGTCTTTACCTAACATACACACACTATATAACCTAATGTATGTACCTTCATATTAATCTAAAATTAAAAAAGAATAATTTGTGAAAGTACTTGGCAGCATTTCTAGAAAGACAATTTATTTTTTTATTTTTATTTTTTTGAGACAGTATCTCACTCTGTTACCCTGGGTAGAGGGCCATGGCATCACAGCTCACAGCAACCTCAAACTCTTGGGCTTCAGCAATCCTCTTGCCTCAGCCCCCTGTGTAGCTGGGACAACAGGCACCTGCCAGTATACCTGACTAGTTTTTCTATTTTTAGTAGAGGTGTGGTCTTGGTCTTACCCAGGCTGGTCCAAAACTCCTGAGCTCAAGGAATCCACCCATCTTGGCCTCCCAGGGTGCTAAGATTATAGGCATGAACCACTACATCCTGCTTATAAAGACAATTTAAGTACAGCCTGAGTTATTTTCTATGATTTTATAATTGGATGAAAAGTAACTTCCCTTTGAGCCAGAAAATACTGTAATTTTAAATGTATATCGAATATACCAAAGACAATGTTAAAACAAATAAGATTTAGAGATTTCTTTTTTAAGAAATTCTTTCCTAAGATTTCTTTTATATTTTACTATATTCACTAGATCTATTTTTATATATCAATTATCAGTTGTGGTAATCCCAGGTTTTATGTAAATTTACTATTAGTTACCAACAGAAATGGCATCATGACTGCAACAGGCCCCTGTGGCACAGTGACCGTTAGTACAGAATTGTAGCTCGATGGCAATGTAGCTTCCTGCCCTAACTCTCCCTATGTTCTCTCATATATAAGATGAGGATGAAGATGACAGTGCTCATTTCATAGGGCCATTATTAGAATTAAATGACTTAATGTTATCTGTTATTTCCTTAAATCTGGGCTATTCTTTTCATAGCTCTCTCCCAATCATCATCATAAGTAAAGGCAAAGGTCCATTTTGAATTTAAATTTCTAAAAGGGAGGCAAGACTAGCCCAGATAAACATTTTATCCACCAAAACAACTTCTGCTGAGTAGACTACTATTGCAGGTTTGTTGATTTTCTAATAAAATGTGAGATGGTTGGAACTGGTGAGGTACCAGGTCCAGTAAGCCCATATGTGAGTACAGAGCTTTGGAGAAACACTCAGAATGGCCCGAATTTGTCAGTCTTTATTAAAACAAGGACTAGCCCTTTATAGAATATGGGGCAGTAATGGCTAGTCTTCACAAAGAACTGGATAGGAGCTACTTGAACATAAACTCAGTATTCAGGCCAGGCTACAGCTGACCTGATCAACTCCTTTATTCACAGGCTTCTACGCAGAGGTCAAAACAAAAAAACAAACTTACAGACAACCTGTAAGGAGTAGAGTCAAGAAATGCCCCCCCATTCTCAAGTGTGCTGAGTTACCTACTTAAAATATGTAGCATGGCACCTTGTCTTTCTCTGGTGGTTAAAAAAAACAAGTATAGGTAAGAAATTGGTTTATGACTTACACTAAAGTAGCTCATATGTGTAATAATTTGAGAGAAAGAGAGAGAGAGAGAGGTTAAATAGTGCGGGCTATTTTGCTTTCCTTCCCCAGAGTATCCATGAACCAGGAGATGTGAGTAAATTTGCTAGTCCCTTAGCCTGCCTTAGTTCCTCCCTGCTCTTGCAAGGTGAGCATCCTGCTTGATTGAGCGTGATTCTAGTATACACAAGCATGCATTTTCTTACAATAAATCTAATCACAAGCCAAATGTGTCTTCTGAAAGTCAGCCTCAATTACAGAAACTGAGGAAATTTCCTCAATTAGGAAAATCTGGGTATCCATGGAAAGCTAGCACAAACTCTGATCCACCCATCAGTTATTTTCAAAAGTAATTTCGACAGTACCGGACTTCACATAAGAGGCAACTACACTGTACTCTATTCATTTGAAGTATGAAAAAGCTCTGGATTCCTCTGAGGAATCGGTGACTCTAGTCCCAGCTCTACTAGTAACTAGCTGTGATCATGGAAAAGTAACCCTAACCCTCTGAGTGTCAACTGGCAGGTGGTTCAGATGGTTTCCAAGTTGCCTGACACATTTATCCTTCTATGAATCTGTCGCTGAACACTTATTTTGTAATTTATTAGCTGTTAAGTCTGGTTAATACCAGTTAACTAAAAACCAGTTTGTTATCCAATGGTAAATAATACAAATTAGCTCAAAGTATTAGCAAGGTTACTCAATACTAACACACAGACCAGGGAATCTGATAATTTTCTTCTCTAGAAAGTGAAAAAATTATAAATCCTCACTTGAAGACATCTATTTTCCTAATACTCAAAAGATAAACAGCAATAGAACAATTAAATTAATGGACAATATTGGAATTAGGTGTAAATTAAAACTAGTTGTTAGAAAATGTAGTTTTAAGCCTGTACTCTGCAAAATGGTTTAAAATGAAATAAATTATTATGTCAATAAAATGCAAATATAGGGAAAATACAAATAATGTTTACTCTAACTAAAATGTTTAAATTCACTAGCTTTAGCTTAAAAGCATTATATGAGATATTTTTATTCCTTTTTCTACCACTACATTTTACAGACACACACACACACACACCCCACCCTATCCCTGCCCTCATTTTTATGCTTTATTGCAGTGGTTTGCAAATCTGGATGCATATTAGAATTACATGGGAAGCTTAAAGGATTAAAAAAATATATGATGAGCAGGCTTCCCAAGAACAACTCAATCAAAATCTCTAATAGTGAACATAGGCGATAGAATTTTGAAATCTTCAGATGACTCTAACAAGCAGCCACACTTCAGCTTCCAGGTATCAGTTGTGAGATAGGAGGCTAGAGAGGAAGCTTTTTTGTTTCCGATGTTGAAGTGATGAGTAGACTCGAGCAACTTTTTGTATTTTTAAAAATAAAAATACATTTTTAAACTCCTAATAGCCTCGATTCACCCATTAAAACCTACAGATGTGTTTATATCAATATAGCACAATAGTTACCTAAATAAAAGATGGTTTTACTAAATTAACTTCTCTAATTCTTCTGAAGTCCCAGGACATACAGATGCTCAATCATTGTGTTTCTAAAAGGGGAAGCACATATGTTCTGGAAATCTGTATATCATGAAGTGTACAAGATCACAATGTAAGTATTTAACTTAACTTAAACGTGAATTCTAGTACTTAGAATTACAATTTCATTGTTAATAAAAAAGATAAAACAGCAAAGTATGCATCAACTATAGCAGAAATCTTTTAATAAGTGAATGAGAACAGTAAGATTTAAGAAAGGACACCTTTCGAGTCACCTTGGAATGCTGAGGAGGTAGTCTAGGGTGACACTCAGCTCGTCCATACTTGTCTGTTCAAGGCATAGTGGAATTGTCAGAATGAGGCCACTTCGTCTGTCTTTTCCTCCTATAAAGAAAAAAAGAGATTAATTTAACATGTAGTAGATACTGAGGCATCACCTAACTTATACATGTCTGAATCCAGTGTGACTGAAACAATTAATGGGTTTAAGACATAATTTTAAAAATATCTGATCTACTTATAGACTGTAAATGTATATAATAGTATGGCAAAATTATAGAAAATACAGAAAAAATAAAGGAAAAGACTTATGAAATCTTCACCCAAAGTAGCAATTATTGTCTCAGTTAATTTTTCTCCATTTAGTCTGCTTCTTACTGTAATCAATTCATCAAACATTTATTGAGTGCCTAGCACAATAAGCAAGATAAATAAATTTCCAGTCAACTTAGGAAGAAAAAATTTAAGTCATAAGAAATAACAGTATGAAATATAATAGTTTATTTGCTAACTTGTTGTATAATGTATATTATAAAATATTATAAAAGGGGATTTAGAAAATGATAAGAGCTGCAGTGAACAAAGTCTCATTAAAAAATTAAGTCTTAAGAATAGAATAGAATTTGTAAACCAAGTCAGAAAAGCATTTTTTTTTTTTTTTTTTTGAGACAGAGCCTCAAGCTGTCCCCCTGGGTAGAGTGCCATGGCATTACAGCTCATAGCAACCTCCAACTCCTGGGATCAAGCGAGTCTCCTGCCTCCGCCTCCCAAGTAGCTGGGACCACAGGCGCCCGCCACAACGCCCGGCTATTTTTTGGTTGCAGCCATCATTGTTGTTTGGCGGGTCCGGGCTGGGGATTCAAACCCGCCACCTTAGGTGTACGTGGCTGGCGCCTTAGCTGGTTGAGCTACAGGCGCCGAGCCAGAAAAGCATTCTGATGAGGAATGATCTGAGTTAATTCACAAAGGTCAGAAAGGCATATATTGTTTGTAAGGCAACAAAGATAAAGTCCTTCCCAGCTGAGAAGAGCTCAGGGGATCTAGATATCAAAGCCTCAGAGGCAGATAGTGGAACACACACCCGATATATGCTCAAGTCCCCTTCGGTTTGTCCTAAGTGTTAAAATGTTGACTTTCGGGTACTTTTATACACACATAGCATCTTTGGAAGTTCCTTATAGGCTTGACTTGCATACTGAAGCCCCAATCTTCTCACCCAAATGACATTTTATGGCAATTCCAGATGTTTAAAAACCAGAAAATACTGAAGGAAACAATTCTACAAGAATTCCAGAAATCTATCACTAAAAACAGAAAGGTATAAAATGAAAAAAAGACTATTAGTGATATGAATGAAATTTGTGACATGCCAATCATAAATGAATTTTTGTCCCTCATTAGGTTAACCATACATATTACCATACTATTCAAGCTCTTTATTTAACATTAATAAATGGCAATTTCAAATGGTTTAACTTAATAATGACTTCAACTACATAGTATCTTGTTTAGAATCAAGTAGTTTTTAGATGGTATGTCCTGATGAATTCCGTTGGTTTGAAAAGATTTTATCACTAAAAAAGTCTGGAAAGTACTGGCTTCAATAATCAATGGTCAAGTGAGAGAGTTAAGAGGAATGGGCTAAGAGATCTTTTATTTACTCCTCAAAATTGGTAAGCTTTATCTACGCATTAAACCAAACCTACAAGAAGGTTAACTCCTGAACTGGGGCACTCTGGCCTACTGCAGAATTGTATTTAGAGGACAGCTTTAATATTCAAGATTACATTTAACTCCATGCCTCGTCAATCACCAGCGTAGAAGTACAAGAGGGGCAGAAGCCTAGAGGAAAAAGACTTTCAAAACAAATATGGTCAACAGGGTCAAATGCAGCACAGAGACAAGTGTCACAGAATGCAAAAATGTCTACGATAAAGATTATTCCACTACTGACAACAGTGTGGGAAAACAGACATTTTCATACACTGTTGGGAGAAATAGAAATTGAAACATCCTTTCCTGGCTTTGATATCAAGGTAACATTGGCTTCATGGAACAAGTTGGGGAGGATTCCTTCCTTCTCAATGTTATGGAATAATTTTTGCAGTACAGGTTCAAGTTCCTCTTTGTTGGTATGGTAAAATTCGGGTGTAAACCATCTGGTCTGGAACTTTTTTTAGTTGGAAGATTTTTTTATTGCTGCTTCAATTCAGTATTTGATATTGGTCTGGTCAGGAGTTCTATTTCTTTCTGATTGAGCCTCAGGAGGTTGTGTGTTTTCAAGAATTTGTCCATTTCCTTCACATTTTCATATTTACAGGCTTAGAGATTTTTATAGTATTCTGAGATGATGGTTTGTATTTCCATGTTATCAGTTGTGACTTCCTTTTTACATTTTTAATTAAGCTTATTAGAGTTCCTTTTTTTTTTTTTTTCTTCTGTTTCTAGTTCACCTAAGAAGAGGCTTGGTAATTATTTATTTTCAAAGAAATAGTATTTTGTTTCATTAATCTTCTGGATAGCTTTTTGCTCTCAATTTCACTTAGCTCTGCTCTAGTCTTGGTTATTTCTTTTCTTCTGCTGGGTTTGGGAATGCTTTGCTCTTCCTTTCTAATTCCTTGAGACAATTTTTTAGATTGTTGATTTGTGATCTTTCCATGTTTTGGACTGCACTGGCTTTCTTTTGGTTTTCAATTGCATGAAATACTGTTTTCCAAACTTTCACAGTGAAATACTGTTTTCCAATCTTTCTGAACGAGTCCTTGTGGGTTAGATGTATTTCCTGGAGATAGGAGATACTTGGTTTACCATGTTTTCTTATCCATTCAGCCAGCTTGTGCCTCTTCAGTGGGGAATTTGAGCTGTTCAGATTTATTGAAAACATATGTAGGTGTGGTAGATTTTTGTTTATTCTACTGTGTAGACCTTACTGCTTTGTTTTACCTGTAGAGCCATTGTGGTATCTCAGCTCTGGAACTCAGCTTTGGGTGATCCTACATTGGTAAGTATCTTTTGTGCTATTCCTGTACTGCAGGTCTCACTTAATTCCTGGAGGGATGGTCTGCTCTTCATAAATCCCCTCAGTAATTGCTTATCTGAGAAGGTCTTTATTTCTTCCTCATACAGAAAACTTAGTTTTCCAGTATACAAGATTCTAGACTGGCCAATATTCTGTTTTAGAAAACTGAGGATGGGTTCCCAGTTCTCCTAGCTTATAGAGTTTCAATTGAAAAGTCTGTACTTATTCTGATGGTCTCTCTCTGTAAGCAACCCCCTATTTTCACCTTACTGCTGGTAGTGTGGCCTTCTTTGTGTTTACTTTGGCTGCCTAATGATGTATTATAGTGATTGCTCCTTTACAATCTATCTCCCAGGTGTCCTTTGTGCTTCTTGCGCTTGGATATCTAGATTTCAGAAAAGGCTCGGGAAATTTTCCTCAGTCCTTTGGATAAATTATAGAGCAATATCCCTTATGAATACAGAAGGAAAAATTTTCAGTAAAATTTTATCAAACTGAATTCAGTAACACATCAAAAAAAAAAAAAAATTCACCAAGACTGAGTGGGTTTCATCTCAGAGATGCAAGGATGGTTCAACATATGCAAATCTATAAATGTAATCTACTATATAAATATATGCAAAAGCAAAGACCATATGATCCTATCAATCAATGCAGAAAAAGCATTTGGCAAAATTCAGCATCCTTTCATAATAAGAATGCCCAACAAAACTGGTATAGATAGGACATTCCTCAAAATTATAAAGGCTATTTATGACAAATCTATAATAGACAACATCAAATTGAATGGGGAAAAATTGAAAGCATCCCCATTTAGAACTAGAAGCAGATGAGGTTGCCTACTATCTCCATTTTTATTCAACAGAGGGTTGGAAGTTCTTGCCAGAGTAATCAGGCAAAGGAAGGAAATCAAGAGGGTCCAAATAAGGAAGGAAGAGATGGAACTATCACTCTTTGCTGATGATATGATCTTATATCAAGAAAACACCAAAGACTCAACTAAGAGAATCCTGGAATTGATAAATAAATTCAGCAAAGTCCCAGGTTACAAGATCAGCATACACAAATCAGTAGCTCCTACAGAATGGGAGAAAATATTCTCATGCTATACATCTGATAGAGGACTGATAACCAGAATATACAAAGAACTCAAACAAATCAGCAAGAAACAATCTCATTAAAAAGTAGGCAAAAAACAGGAACAGAAAACTTTCAAATGAACATATACTAGTGGCCAACAAACTCATGAAATAATGCTCAGCATCTCTAATCATTAAAGAAATGGAAATCGAAACCACAATGACATATCACCTAATTCCAATTAGAATGGCTCATATTAAAAAATCCCAAAACAACAGATGCTGGTGTGGATGTGGAGAGAAAGGAACACTCACTGTTGGTGGGGCTGCAGACTAGTGAAATCTCTATGGAAAATTGTATGGAAACAACTCCAAGAACTCAAAGTAGATGTACCATTTGATCCAGCAATCTTACTGCAGGGTATATGCCCAAAGGATGAAGGGTCATTTTACAAAAGGACATTTGCACTCAAATGTTTATAGAGGTACAACTCACACTTGCAAAGATGTGGAAACAACCCAAGTGCCCATCAATACATGACTGGATTAATAAAATGTGGTACATGCATACTATACTACTTTGCCACAAGCAAAGAGGTATCTAGTATCTACTGTGACAGCCTGCATGGAACTGGAAATCATTCTTCCAAGTGAAACATCAGAAGAATAGAGAAACAAACATGTATACTCAATACCAAATCTGCACTGATCAGTCACTTAAGTGCATGTATGGAAGTAAATCTCAATGAAAATCAAGCTAGGGGAGAGATGAGAAGATGGGTTAATTCACACCTTTTGGGTACAGTATGTACACTATCTGGGTGAAGGGCACACTTATAACTTTGACTCAGTGCCCATCAACCCATGACCAGATTAATAAATTGTGATATATGTACAACATGGAATATCATGCAGCCTTAAAAAAGATGGAGACTTTACCTCTTTTATGTTTATGTGGATAGAGCTAGAACATATTCTTCTTAGTAAAGTATCCCAGGAATGGAAGAAAAAGTATCCAATGTACTCAGCTCTACTATGAAACCAATATATAACCACTCACACTTCCATACGAAAGCTATAACCCAACCACAGCCAAAGATGAAGGGGAAAGAGGAAGGGAAGGGGAGGAGTAGAGAAGGGGGCGCATGGGTAGAGGGAGGGTAATTGGTGGGACCACACTTATAGTGCATTTTACAAGGGTACATGTCAAATCTACTAAGTGTAAAGTATAAATGTCTTAACACAATAATTAAGAAAGCGCTGTGAAGGCAATGTTAACCAGTTTGTTGTATTTCAAATTGTATATAAAATGAGAACATTGGACCCCATAAATGCATTATTGTACACAGCTATGATTTAATTAAAAAAAACCCAAAATATAAAAACATGTGTAATATCCCCCAATACTCTGAAACTAAATAAATATATTTTTAAAAGATTTTTTAAAAAAAGGAATTGAAAGAATCTTATATTCTGAAACTAAATAAATATATTTTTAAAAGATTTTTTAAAAAAAAGGAATTGAAAGAATCTTCTATCCTACAGAGGAGAGAAAGAGAAAGCTAGGTAATATAGTTGAAGTGACCCTAGAATGCCAGACCACAGGACTGTAAAGCATTCTGCAAACTCTAGATTACTACAATGCTCCAGGAGAGCCCGTCACCCAAAGTACCACAGCCTTGCTAGTAAAGTATCTAGTTAGCATTGCACAGCTTCTACACAACTCCTCTTAGCTGATACAGACTTTGCTTTAAAAGCTGAAGGTAAATTCAAGTCTGTATAAAAAATTCTGAACAGTAGAAACTGAAAACAGCATAATTGATGTTTTATAATTCTGCTAGTGTACTGAAATTTTCTTATTGGGAAATGGAAGACAAAAGCTAGAAGATAGAATATAAATACTGATTATAGTACAGAAACAATTTAGGTGCCAGTTAGTCAAGTAGCTTGTAGGAGCCATTTTAATCAAACTGCAGAACAGAATAAAAGGTAGCTTGCCATGAACCAGCAGAGAGGCAGTTAGCTCACACAACTATCCATTCTGATTAAAAGAGGTCTCAGAATACCCTTCAAACAAAATGTTCATAGAAAAACAAAATGTATTCCTGTCAAACTTATCAAAGAAAAGTTTAAACAATTTTACCTATCAAACACTTCTGATTTAAGAAGAAAACATACCTGAAAGGAAGGCTAGTTTCTTCTTTAGAATAGGTAATATTACTGAGGCCTCCATATTACTCCAGTGAACTTCCTTTTTTCCTGAAAACACAAAAATTTAAAACGTCAAATAGCAATATTTTTTCTATGAAACATATACGATGGTTTATCCCAGAGTTTCTCACCCTTGTATCTTTTGACATTGAGTCAGATAATTCTTTTTGTAAGGAGTTATACTCTGCCTATAGTATCCTTGGCCTCTACCCACTAAATACCAATAGTACCTCTCCTTCCCAGTTGTGACAACCAAAGTTTCATTGTCAAAAGTCCTGTGGTAGGCTATGGTGATTCATGCCTGTAATCCTAGCACTCTGGAAGGCCAAGGTGGGTGGACTACCTGAGCTCATGAGTTCAAGACCAGCCTAAGCCAGAGCAAGACCCTGTCTCTAACAATAGCTGAGTGTTGTGGCAGGCACCTATAGTCCCAGCTACTCAGGAGGCTGAGGCAAGAGAATCGCTTAAGCCCAAGTTTAAGGTTGCTGGGCGCTATGATGCCATAGCACTCTACCGAGAGTGACAAAATGACTCTTCTCTCAAAAAAAGTCCTGTGGTAGACAAAATCACAGCTGATGGAGAATAATCAGTAACAGGCTTAACTGTTTTTCAGAGCAATACTCTTGGGCTCAACATTGTGTAGTGCATAGAAGTGGCTCGATAAATAATGTGCTAAATAAAGGAATTAGGCAATCTTCAGTTGCTTTCTTTATCAATTATGCAGCTTACTTCCAAATATTTTATTCTTTCCACTCCATATTGAATGGCTTTCCCTGATATCTCTTAATTTTTGCTTCCCTGTAACACATAGTATCCTCATGTTTACCTCAAAATATTTTCAAATACACTGTTTCTGTTTTTTCTCCCACTGCAAACTATCTCCATCTATCCACATTTTATAGTTTTAAATTCTCTAAGGAAAAATCTAATTAGCCCAATACATCTTTTTGTCCTAGGCCACAATTCATTCTTCTCGGTTCAGTTTTCCAGGGTCTGTTTGGCCAAGCCGTCAAGAGCTTACAGCAAGAGTAAGACAGTTTCCCTTAAATGGGTGGTTTGTCGTGACAAGCATTCAGAAGCTTGGCCAGCTCAGTAAACTCCCAAAATAGGATTCTGAAAAGAGTGGGACCTTTAAAATAAAACCAAATAAGCAATTCAGATGTTCAATTCTCTCATCCTCTTATAGTTAGTTTTGTGTCTAAGAGCATATTTTCCATCACATTTTGTCCCTTCTTCCTCTGGCTCATCTTATACCTACCCACCATCACAACATAGGGCAGTTCCTTGGCACGCATTGTGAAATCTTATTGTATTTAGTATAAGCAAACACTCTTGAAAACAACTTCCCAGTAGAGCAGAAAATATGATTCTTTACATTAAAGTATATTATTCAACAAAAACCTGCTATCAATCTATCCCATTTCAGGCACTAAACAGCCAACTGGAGCTAAAAACTCAAGTTATAGCCTTGCCCAGCAAAAAATCTAGTCTTTTTTTTTAAAATCCCAGATATTGGCTGGGCATAATGGCTCTAAGTAGGCCAAGGTGAGAGGACTGCTTGAGGCCAGGAGTTCAAGACCCATCTAAACAGACCTCACCTCTACAAATAATAACAACAACAATAATAACCTAGCTGGGAAAAAGCTGAGGCAGGAGGATAACTTAAGCCCAGGAACTTGAGGTTACAGTGAGCTGTGATTACACCACTGTACTCTAGCCTGAACAATAGAGTTAAGAACACTCTATCCAGTGCCAGGCTTCAGCACAGCTATTGCTGCCTCTCACCTAACCACTCTGCCTGGGGTCTGACAACTACCCACCAATGCCTGCTCTCACCCTTGGGGAGCCAGATGTAGCACACACCCACACAAAAGACTACAGTGAGCAGACAGCATCTCTGATAGCCTGGGTTCTAGGGATTGCCCAATCCAATCTATCATCTCAAGCACCTGAACAATCCATCCAGAGGCCTGAGGTTGGGCCTACTAAACTTTGGGCCACCACCACCTCAGCTGGCACCTACTTGAAAGTGCCACTTAGAGGACTGGACACTGATCTGCCTACCTAATAACTGGTCTACAACAAAAGTCCACCACAGCCTCCACTATTAACCACACATTAACACTTTAAGGAAATCAATGATACCACTGATACTGTTTAAAGCCAAAGAAATCATGAAGAGACTACACTACTTCATGCATCCAGAATCAAAGCCAAAGTGCCTTACCCAACCAATGAAGGTTTTCCTAATAAACCTTCAAGAAAAAGTCCTCATTTATTAAAATATGTTTAAAAATATAAAGAAGCAACTGTCATGCCAGATGAGAAATACCAACATAAGGATATAGGAAACATGAAAAGGCAAGGAAATATAACACCTGCAAAGAACACAATAATTCTCTAGCAACAGACCTTCATCAAAAAATAAAATGTTAAAATCACAGAGAAAGAATTCAAAATAATGACTTTCAAAAAGCTTGGTGAGATACAAGACAATTCTGGAAAAGAATTAAAAAATCAGAAAAACAATTCAGAACATAAATGAGAAATTTGCCAAAGAGAAAGATAGTCCTTAAAAACAACCAAAGAGGCCAGGCGTGCTGGCTCATGCCTGTAATCCTAGCACTTTGGAAAGCCAAGGATGATGGATTGTTTGAGTCCAGAAGTCTGGGTCCAGCCTGAGCAAGACTCTGTCTCTACTAAAAACAGAAAAACTAGACAGACATTGTGGCAGGCACCTATAGTCCCAGCTACTGGGGAGGCAGAGGCAAGAGGATCACTTGACTCCAGGAATTCGAGGTGCCTATGAGCTTTGACACCATGGCACTCTAGCCAGGTAGCCAGGGTAACAGAGTGAGACTCTGTTTCAAAAAAAAAAAAAAAAAAACGAGAAATTCAGAAAGTCTCAAGTCAATGATAACAGCAAATCCCCCAAACAGCAAGAGAAATGCCTCTGGTCATCTATAAAGGAAATTCCATCAAGCTAACGGCTAATTTCTCAGCAGAAACCTTATAGGCAAGAAGAGAATAAGATGATATTTTCAAAATGCTGAAAGAAAACAACCACCATCCAAGAATACTATATCTAGTAAAATTATCCCTCACAAATTAGGGAGAAACAAATCAATCTCAGACAAGGGAATGTAAAGGAGATTTATTATCAATAGAATGACCCCACAAGAAATGCTCAAGAAAGTCTAAGCCCTGGAAATAAAAGGACATTGCCCTCATGAAAACACACAAAAGCATAAAACTCACTGGTAAAGCAATGCTATGATACATGCTATGGCACTAGCACTTCTGCCTATCCATGCTTTTATACCATTGCAAATGTCAATACAGTTTTTTTTTTAACTCTTTAAATTGTTAAAAAACAATCTACAGTTTTTTAATCCACTGATACCTAAGAATTATTATAAAAAAATAGTTAGACCTCATGGGCCCCTGAAAGCTACAAGCAAAATGTCTGACCTAGGCTGTCAATGGGATGCTCCCACAGAGGATTTCAATCTTTAATTTTTTATTAAATCATCACTGTGTACATTAATGCATTGATAGGGTACAGTGTGCTGAATGTAACGCAGTGGCAGAGACAACTTAATCTACAAAGAGAATGGGCTTCCTAATGAGATTTTTCCTATGCTGTGAGCACAAATTCTCAGCTGCCTCTAATTTCCTCCTCTAATTTCTCCATTCTTCTCATCAATTCTGTAAATTACACTTACGTTAGTTACTTCTTTTTTAGTCAGTGGAGAAATTCGACTGGTGTAAGATGCATAACTACAATTTAGAGTTAGTAGACAGCATCTCTGATCACTTAACCCTTTTAAAAAAAATCTTCTGCCATTTGTTTTGAATAAGAATGCTCACCAATTCTTATTGAGGTTTTAACCCGTGTCACAGTAAAGCCGAATTAAACAGGACCCAAGAGATAAGAACATGTGGGATACCCAAGATCCCTACAAGGCATAAAAGTTGCAGGGGATCCCTGGAGTAAAACCTAGGCTACTAAAGTTTTGTGAGTGATTTTGTGCCAACAAGTGCTCAAGTTTAATTTTTCACCACTGTGTTCTCCATATACTTGAAGGGAAGAGGCAAAGGATTTGAGTTTTTTGGTCTAGATTTCCTTTGGCAAACTAGTACCATATATTTAGAAGCAATCCTTCATTTTATCTCTGTCTTCTCAGGGACAGGTGCTTTTTCCAAACTTTCCTTTACTTTACCCCCCATGACCTCCAACCTTTTTGGCACTGAGGACCAGTTTCAGGGAAGACAAAAATGCTTCCACAGATGGGGGGTGGGGGAGATGGGGCAGGAGGTGGACGTCAGGTCGTGATGGTCTGCTGCTCAGTTCTGTGGAGGTTGGGGTCAACAGCTTAACAGACCACCTTGTTTACTTTTTTAATCCAACAGCTTGTTTTGTTGTTTGGTGTTTAAAATATCCTGAAAAAGTAGTTTAAAGCAATGAGAAATACAGGTTTGTGAACCAAGATCAAATGAACTGATAGCTAAAATGTAAAGCAGTCATCAGGACACAAAAACAATTACTTATTTGCTATAGTTTCCTCCCTTCTACCGCTCTCTTTCCATCAATCTCTTTCATTATTGTCACAAAAGAGATGGCTAATGAAAAATAATTACTATCTCACTACTTCAAGCTAAATTTCATTGTTCAAAAATTATTTGTTTTAGATTTTCTAGTTTTCAGCACAGCCATTTAAAAAAAAAAAAGAATTTTCCCCTCTGGTTATTTTAATATATGATAGATTAGTTAAAACTGATAATATAAAAAAATACACAAAATGAAGGGGAAATCTTACAAAATACAACTAACCACCATCTCTACAATAAAATGTGAATAACATAAAAGTACCAGTTCATGTTCTCCATTGGAACAAAGATTTTTCTCTTTCACAAGAATTATTCAATCTTAATATATGAGTGGATTATACTTTCAAACAAGCAAATGAACATGTACCTGACATAAAATAATGAACATGTACCTGACAAGTATAAGAAAAAATAAAGCAGACTAATAAACAGAAGAA